CCCTGCTGGCTGGCCTCCCTATGCTGAGCCTCCGCTCTCTGGCGATCGGTGGGGAGGCAAATTCCAGTCCCTGCTGGCCTTTGGGCACCCTCCTCTTTTACTGCAGTGCGTGGGCAGGGCTGCCAGCCGGCGTTCGCTGCAACTCCCCTGGGCTGTGCCATGTGGGAAGCGTCTCAGGCAATGGGGCACAGCCCCATTTGGTCCAGCAGCCACGCTGCCTGGATATCTGGATGGAGGGGCGGCAGGGTCAGACTTCAGGGGGGTGGCGACTGCTCAGCAGGAGCGACACTGAGTTAGTGGTGGAACGCTGCTTAACACCCCGCCCCCCCAAATCCCCCCCCCCCTCGTCGGCTGGCTCCGCGGCCTAGGAGATTTTGAGCAGGTGCAAAAAGCTTGCAGGGGGTGAAAGCTGCAGACACCCACATCCTGCCGTCTCCGCTTAGGAGGCGGTGACCCTCTGAGCTGCATCTGATCACGGAGCCAGCTTGGGGCTCCAGCTGCCCTCTCCCCCTCTCTCGCCTGCTGGAGGCAGGTTTGGGCTGGGGCGGATGGAGCGGAGCTGTGGTGTGCACGGTGGAGGTTGTGGTCATGCTCTTGTGCACACGCACCAGGACAAGGTGGTCTCCCAGGAGCTGCCAGTCACCCTGGAATGGGGGCCAGGTCCAGCCCACGGGAAAGGAGGCATCTAAGATGTTTGTACCTCGTTAGTGTGGCTTTGTTTCCAGCCCTAGGAAGGGGACCCGCCATAAAAGACTGGTCAGTGTCCCTATGGGCCCCTCCTTGGCGAGTGCATGGCTGTGCCCTGGGGCAGGGTCTGCTGGCCCCAGGCTGGGGCCAGGCATCTGGATGGAGCCCAGCTGTGCCAAGCGGTGCACTGCACACGGCAATGTCAGGGCCCCTGGACACCATCTGACCCCAGAGCCTTCTCTTTTGCAGGACTTGAGGACACCGAGGAGTTAACCCTGTAAGTGCTGAGCTACTCCTGTGTAGTTTGGTTTTGCTGGTCCCTGGCCAACTGCTCCCGATGCCTGGTGTGGGAGCGGGACAAATCCAGAGGCAGGTGGGACTACACTGTTCTCATGGGCTCCTGGGAACTTTCTGGGCACAGTGTGGCTCCTCCTTGCTTCACACCTGTGCCAAGGGAGACTCGCCATTTGCTGTTAGCAGTATGGGGGCCATGACACACAGTTGAGCAGTTTAGAGTTAGAGGGGGTGGTGTACAGAGACACCGGTCACCCCTTGCAGCAGGAAGAGAGAGTGTCTCCAGCAGGACTGGACTCGTGGTCCGCTGCCTCCGGCTGTAGCCGATATTTGATGCCTCGGAGGAAGGCAGCACCTGGCTGGTTGTCCCATGGTGCGTGGCAGGGACGTGAGTAGATTCCTTCCTGCCCCCTGAGATGGTCAACTCGCACCCTGAAGCCTCCACCTGCCTTGCCCTCCAAAGCCCTATGGGGTCCTTCTCCCGGCCCCTCGGTCTATATGAACACTGGAGCCTGCAGGTCAGGGTCCCCCAGGGAAGGAGACAGCAGCTGTGGCACCTCGCGCCTGCTCCTCTTGAAGTTCTGGGCTCCAGGGGGATGGGTCTTCAGTCCCCTGCTGCAGGGGCCCAGGCCAGCCGCTGCCCATGTGGCTGGGGTGAGGTGCCCGGCGAGCCGGAGGGGGCCTGGCTGCTGTGGCTTGACTCTCCTGTCTTATCGTTTCAGGAAATTTGAATTCAACCCCAAAGATGGGATTGATAACCCAGCCCTGTGCCTGGCGGAGGACTCCGGTGAGCAGCTGCCCTGGCTTGCCGCGGGCCGGCTTGTTCCTTTTCAAGAGCAAACGGAGGAAATTAGGCTCAGCAGCATTTCTCCCCCCCAGGGCCACACTGGGTGCTGTTTGCACGGGGGTGGGATAGGACGGGGGGCAGACCCAACCTGTGGAGCAAGACCGCCCACCAGCAGGGGGTCTTGCAGCCCCGTGAGTGAGCAGAGCTGGGGCACTCGGGTGCAGAAGGAGCAATCCCCTCTTCTGTTTGAGAGACCTGCCCGCAGCGCCCCCCTCTGCGTGCACACACTTGGATTGGAAGCCTTGGCCTGCGCGGCTCCTACACCCCTCTGGCTGGGGGCCGGGCCCTGGCCCCAGGCTGGCTTGCAGGGCGTCTCTTTGCTGCTGTTTTTCTGGGGAGGGGTCAGGGAGTCTTGTCTGTGCGTCTGGCAACGCCGAACTGAGGGAGACCTGACCCCCAAGGCTGGCCTGCAGGGCCTCTCTTTGCTGCTGTTTTTCTGGGGAGGGGTCAGGGAGTCTTGTCTGTGCGTCTGGCAACGCCGAACTGAGGGAGACCTGACCCCCAAGCCCTCGCCCCCCGCGTATGGAAGGGTGAAACCAGAGGGGAACTGTCCCTGCCGAGAGGCAATCACGTGCAGGGAGGCCCCACAGGTGCACGGACGCATTTGCACCCGCAGTGTGACACGAATATGTATGTGCACAGACACGAGGATGTGCACGTGTGCAGTGCAATGTGCCTAAGCACCGGTGGGCGGGTGTGTGTCCTAAGTACAGGTGAGCCTGGGCATATTAGGACTTCAGCAGGCATGGGGGAGGGGTACCCCAGATCGCTAATATCTCGACAAGCTTACTGATTCCTTCCCCATGTTGCCGACCCCCTCCCCCCCGTGGGATTCACAGGCTCTCTTCTCCCCTCAGATACAGAAGGGGCAGAGGCGCCGCGGTTCTGCCTGCTGACCAAAGGCAATGGGGAGAGCTTCGGGTTCTGCCTGCACCAGGAGGTGGGGAACCCGGGGCACATCGTCCGGCAGGTGGAGTGCGGGGGCATGGCCCAGCGCAGGGGCCTGCAGGACGGGGACCGGATCCTGGAGGTGAACGGGGAATACGTGGACAACATGGAGCACTTCAGGGTGAGGCGTCGAGGCCTGTGACGAGCACCGTCAGCTCAGCCTGGTCACCGGGGGGTGAACTGGACTGGACCCATCTGATTGGCCAGGGCAGGGGCCAGAAGAAACCTGCACCATAGCATCTGGCTCCAGAGCCCAGCTCCCCTGAAGCGCCAGCGTGCGGAGAGCGGGGCTTTGGTTCCAGTCGATCTCCCAAGGGGAGCGGGGTGGCTCCTGTGAATTGAGTTGGCTGGGTCTCAGCTCGATGCCTCGTGTCCACGTCTCAAACAGCCGCCTCCCCGGGCACTGCCTGGCTCCGTGCATTGACCCAAAGCACACGCAGGCCAGGGCAGAGCCGGTTCTCTGTCCTAGCCGGGGTGAGTCACCTTGGCAGGGGGAGGTTGGCAGGTGTGCCCTGCTGCTGCCCGGGTTCTCCCTGCCCCGTGTCCAGAGGGCTGCCGATCTGCCGGCATGGCTCCCTCCTAAGACCCGAGCTTGGAGCCCGCCTGGCCATGGCCCATGTGTGTGGGCTGCCTTGCAGGTGGTGCAGAAGATCAAGGCCAGCGGTGACCAGGTGGCCGTCGCAGTCCTGGACGGCCGTGCCTACGAAGTCGCAAAGGCCCTGGACAAGAATCTGGCAGAGCTGTTGCCGCACCGCGCCGGGCCGCGGCTCTGCCACGTCGTGAGGGACAAAACCGGCTTCGGCTTCCGTGTTTCAGCTCCAGAAGGTAACCCCCCCCTCCCCCGGCAACCTTCAACCCCCCGCCCGTGCAGCCTGTGCGTATCCCACTGCCTGTTTCCCCGCGGCGGCGCCGGGCGCTCCCCCACCGCTCTGCTCCCCTCGCAGGCGTGAAGGGCACGTTCCGGCTCGCCGTGACGACCGGCAGCCCAGCGGACAGGGCGGGTGTCCCCCCAGACTCCTGGCTGCTGGAGCTCAACGGGGCCAGCGTGAGGAACTACACGTACACCCAGCTCACCAGAAAGGTACGCGGGCGGGGGGGCCGTCCCGCCGCCATCCTGACGCTTCCCCCCAAAAGGAGACATTTTCTCTTGCTGATGATCTTTGGCAAGAGTAGAGCGGCCACGCCAGTGGGGGGTGGGGCAGCGGGGCCAAGCGGGGAGGGAAGCAGAGCCAGAGCGGGGAGGAGGGGAGCAGTATCCCTGCATGCGGGACCCCCTCAGAGCTCCAACAACCAGGCAACAACATAGAGGGGGGGCTTGGTTGAGTGGCTGGGGGCGGGAAGTATGGTCCCATGCTACCTCCCTGTTCTCCTGCTTGGCCTTTCCTCCTCCTTCTGCTTGTCCCTCCCCCTCCCTCTCTCCCAGCGCTCTCCATGACAGTCGCGCAAGGCAGGCAGCGTCTGCCTGTCTGTCTGCAGTCACAGATCCAGTGGCCGTCCGGCGGCCCCGCTCAGCAGACAGCAGTGGACTGTTCCCTGAGACGACGGGCCCTTGGGTGATGCCCCAGTGCCGGGTTCTCCCCACACTCCGGGCTCTGAATTCTGCCTCCGCCAGCTCTATGTGAGGGAAGGACTGTCCGTCTGGAGGGGCAGTTTGCCCTGCCCCTGGTCTCCAGGCTGTGTCATGGCTTATACCCCGCAGTGGGGGAGGCAGGGGGCCCTGTGCTGGTCCTAACCAGGCCCACGTGGCTCGCTTTGCACCCGTGTTTTCCGTCGGTGCCAGCTCAAGCACAGTGGCGGCAAAGTGACCTTGCTGGTGATAGACGACGAGTCGGAGGAGTTC